ACAAAGGGTAACAAGGGTAACAAGGGGTAACAAAAGGGTAACAAGGGGTAACAAGGGGTAACAAGGGTAACAAGGTAACAAAGGGTAACAAGGGGTAACAAAAGGTAACAAGGGGTAACAAGGGGTAACAAAAGGGTAACAAAGGGTAACAAGGGGTAACAAGGTAACAAGGGTAACAAGGGGTAACAAGGGGTAACAAGGGTAACAAGGGGTAACAAAGGGTAACAAAAAGGGTAACGGGTAACAAGGGGTAACAAGGGATAACAAAAGGGTAACAAAGGGTAACAAGGGTAACAACGGTAACAAGGGGTAACAATGGTAACAAGGTAACAAGGGGTAACAAAGGTAACAATGGGTAACAAGGGGTAACAAGGGGTAACAAAGGTAACAAGGGGTAACAAGGGTAACAAGGGGTAACAAGGGGTAACAGGGGTAACAAAGGTAACAAGGGGTAACAAGGGTAACAAGGGTAACAAGGGTAACAAGGGGTAACAAGGGGTAACAAGGGGTAACAAGGGTAACAAGGGTAACAAGGGGTAACAAGGGTAACAAGGGTAACAAGGGGTAACAAGGGGTAACAAAGGGTAACAAAAAATAACAAAAGGGTAACAAAAGGGGTAACAAAGGGTAACAAGGGGTAACAAGGGTAACAAGGGGTAACAAGGGGTAACAAGGGGCAGCAAGGGTAACAAGGGGTAACAAAAGATAACAAAGGGTAACAAAAAGGGTAACAAGGGGTAACAAGGGGTAACAAGGGGTAACAAAAGGGTAACAAGGGTAACAAAAAAGGGTAACAAAAGGGTAACAAAGGGTAACAAAAACAAAGAGGGTAACAAAACAAAGGGTAACAAAAGGGTAACAAAGGGTAACAAGGGGTAACAAAAAGGGTAACAAAAAAGGGTAACAAAAGGGTAACAAGGGTAACAAGGGGTAACAAAGGTAACAAAAAAAGGTAACAAGGGTAACAAGGGGTAACAAGGGTAACAAGGGGTAACAAGGGGTAACAAAGGGTAACAAGGGGTAACAAAAAGGTAACAAGGGTAACAAAAGGGTAACAAGGGTAACAAGGGGTAACAAAAAAGGGGTAACAAAGGTAACAAAGGGTAACAAAAGGGTAACAAGGGTAACAAGGGGTAACAAAGGGTAACAAGGGGTAACAAGGGTAACAAAAGGGTAACAAAGGGGTAACAAGGGGTAACAAAGGGTAACAAGGGTAACAAAAAGGGTAACAAGGGTAACAAGGGGTAACAAGGGTAACAAAAGGTAACAAGGGTAACAAGGGGTAACAAGGGTAACAAAGGGTAACAAGGGGTAACAAAAGGTAACAAAGGGTAACAAGGGTAACAAGGGGTAACAAGGGGTAACAAAAGGGGTAACAAAAGGGGTAACAAGGGGTAACAAAAGGGTAACAAGGGTAACAAGGGGTAACAAGGGTAACAAGGGGTAACAAAGGGTAACAAGGGGTAACAAAAGGGTAACAAAGGGTAACAAAAGGGTAACAAAGGGTAACAAGGGGTAACAAGGGGTAACAAAGGGTAACAAAAGGGTAACAAGGGGTAACAAGGGTAACAAAAGGGTAACAAAAAAACCAGGGTAACAAGGGGTAACAAGGGTAACAAGGGGTAACAAGGGGTAACAAGGGTAACAAAAGGGGTAACAAAAGGGTAACAAAGGGTAACAAGGGGTAACAAAGGGTAACAAAAGGGTAACAAGGGGGTAACAAGGGGTAACAAGGGTAACAAGGGGTAACAAGGGGTAACAAGGGTAACAAGGGGGTAACAAGGGGTAACAAAAAAGGGGTAACAACAAGGGGTAACAAGGGTAACAAGGGTAACAAGGGGTAACAAGGGTAACAAGGGTAACAAGGGGGGTAACAAGGGGTAACAAGGGGTAAAGGGGTAAAAACAAGGGTAACAAGGGTAACAAGGGTAACAAGGGTAACAAAGGGGTAACAAAAGGGTAACAAGGGGTAACAAAACAAGGGTAACAAAAGGGTAACAAGGGGTAACAAAAGGGTAACAAAAGGGGTAACAAGGGTAACAAGGGTAACAAGGGTAACAAGGGTAACAAAAGGTAACAAGGGGGTAACAAGGGTAAACAAGGGGTAACAAGGGGTAACAAGGGGTAACAAGGGTAACAAGGGTAACAAGGGGTAACAAACAAGGGGTAACAAGGGGTAACAAGGGGTAACAAAAACAAGGGGTAACAAAAGGGTAACAAAAGGGTAACAAAAGGGTAACAAAGGGTAACAAGGGGTAACAAGGGTAACAAGGGGTAACAAAAAGGTAACAAGGGTAACAAAAAGGGTAACAAAGGGTAACAAAAGGGGTAACAAAGGGTAACAAGGGTAACAAGGGTAACAAAGGGGTAACAAGGGTAAACAAAGGGTAACAAGGGGTAACAAGGGGTAACAAGGGTAACAAGGGGTAACAAAAAGGGGTAACAAGGGGTAACAAAGGGTAACAAGGGGGGTAACAAGGGTAACAAGGGTAACAAGGGGTAACAAGGGTAACAAAAAGGGTAACAAGGGTAACAAGGGTAACAAGGGGTAACAAAAAGGGGTAACAAGGGTAACAAGGGGTAACAAAAGGGGTAACAAGGGGGTAACAAGGGGTAACAAGGGGTAACAAAAGGGTAACAAAGGGTAACAAGGGGTAACAAGGGTAACAAAGGGGTAACAAAAAAAAAGGGTAACAAGGGGGTAACAAGGGGGGTAACAAGGGTAACAAGGGGTAACAAGGGTAACATAACAACAAGGGTAACAAGGGGTAACAAGGGGTAACAAGGGTAACAAAAACAAGGGTAACAAGGGGTAACAAGGGGTAACAAGGGTAACAAGGGTAACAAAGGGGTAACAAGGGTAACAAAGGGTAACAAGGGGTAACAACAAAAAAGTAACAAGGGGGTAACAATGGGTAACAAGGGTAACAAGGGGTAACACGGTAATAACAAACAAGGGTAACAAGGTTAAGAAAGGGTAACAAGGGTAAAAAGGCGTAAAAAGGGGTAACAGGGGTAACAAAGGGTAATACAGGGTAACAAGGGTAACAAAGGGTAACAAGGGTAGCAAAGGGTAACAAAGGGTAACAAAGGGTAACACAGGATAACGAAGGGTAACAAAGGGTAAAAAAGGTTAACACATGGTAGCACAGCGTAACAGATAGTAACACAGGGGTATCAAGCTGTTACCCTGGGGAAGCCAGTGGGGTGTCGAGAAATGTGGGCCCTTTTTCAGGCTAGTTCTTTTAACAGTGAAGTTCCCTTTTTACATGATCTTTCTAAAATCAAATGTACTAACCTTTTTGAAAGAGGACTTCTTGATATCTAAGGATTTTCCAGCCGGACTAAAAATACCAATAAGTAGATGTATGTAATTCTTAAGATATGAGATGCTGTGTAACAAAAATGGTTCTATAAACTAAAAACGTAGACACTGAGGGAACCAGAGAAAGGGTATGTATTAAGCGGGTTGAATTTGAAGAAAATGTTAGGGCTAGGGGCAAGAAAAACTGTCCGTAATAACTAGATCTGCGTTTTAAGAGGGTGTCCATAAAAAGGGCTTTGCCTGTAAATCACGTTTTACCAATCCGGTATTAGCAAATGTCCTTAGCCCATTTTATAGTAAACCTTAGTTAAAAGTAATAATACTGTTTAAAATTTTCAAGCTAAATTTTTAGTTGTTATAAAGCAAAAAAAATTGAGAAATTTACTACTATGACGCTTATTAGAAACTTATAATTGACAAGAACTAACAACGATCCAGCGTTTTTTTTTTGTACAGATGTAAGACGCGTAGGTACATCTCGCATAGCATTTATATCCACGATCTTTTAGAAAAACAAGATAACAAATACGCAGCAAAGTTATGGGCTTAGAGGTCACCCACTTTATGACATGTTGCGAGAGGTTAAGAGCACTAGGTACCACCTTCGACCAAAATGTACAGTGAAACCTAACGTAAACACGAAGCGTTTTATGTGTTCCTTTGTAAACCGCCTAATTGTTAATTACGAGTTAGTTCTTTAATTTTATTAGATTTTATTTGCTATTTCATGTACCTTAGTTTGCTTTTTACATTAACAATTTTGTAACATGGGATATGCATGTTTATCTCATGAAATATAAACCTATTACTATTATTATTATTATTATTATTATTATTATTATATTGAAGATGAAACAACAACAACAACATGATATTGTTGTTTCATCTTCAATATACTCACTTTGGAGGTTGGTTGGCCGCATGTTGGATATGCTTTAAGGTGACAGCGCGATGCTGTTAGTGAGTTTTTCACTTCTTGTGTGCCTATCATTACTTGGCTGTGTAGCCGCGTGATGCGGTTCCAGTCGAGACCCACAAATTGGCCCTTGCTCACCATAGAGTCTCCAGTAGCTCAAGTGGTTAGAGCATCCGACTAGATCACGGAGGGTCGTGGGTTCAAATCCCATCTGGGACTCGGATTTTTTTTCCAAGTCCTCCTCAAATTAATATCATATTATTATTATTGTTATTATTATTAAGAGAAGCCAAGGACCATCCAAAAAGACAACTTACCAAGAAGGGAGGAGGTAGGTTCGAAAAAATGTACTAGTCAATAACGGAAGTTCCACTTTCTTCATCCTTAACAATGCACAAAAGAAGCAATACTCGAGGAGATCATCCATGTTATCTACAAATAGTGAAAGAGTAAAACCATGAAAACGATCAGTCCTGTTGAGGTAAAATTCCAACAAGCAACATGGCCTTAAAAGAGCCGGCATAAGAATAGATGAAATGGAGACAAACAACAAAAAGATGGGTTAAATGCAAGAGGACGGGTAGCTTGCAAACTAAACTGAATGCAGGGTTGTCGGAACAGCAAGAAGAAGATTTATTCCAAAAATGAACGTAGTTTCCACGAAGAAAAACTCCACAACAGCACGTAACTCGTTAAACTTACACAGCCTCCGCCAACTTGAATAAACACTGCTTCCGTCACAATTGACTAAACAAAATATGAATGAATTGAAATGTGAGTAGTGTAAACATTGTAGTAAACAAAGATCGAATAGCTCTTGTATGATGGTAAAATGAAATGTGCTGTGTAAAGTTTGTGTTCAGAAAAGTGCAAACTCCTGAAATGGTAAACGTTTGTTGACGAAAAATTGAAAGAAATCATAGTTCACCTAACAGCGAGTTCGGTGTGTCAGTTGCCTCTTCTTCTACATCCAAATAACTGGCTTCTTCAGAGAGTGTCTGTTCATTTTCGTCACCTGCCACATTTGAAGCATTTGCCTCATTATTCTCAACATCGTCACCAATGAAGCCACCTTCAGTGTCCGTGGAGCCATAAATATAAGCATCCTCTGTAAATTCCCAGTCAACACAACAACAGAAGCAATTAATACCAAATTCTACGTTTACGGGATACCTACATAATATGTCGACGAAACGTTTGGGCTGGGCAGTCACTTTAAACTCAGTATACGTGTTTTGTGACAATTAAAAGGGTTTATGAGTTTGATACAGCGAGTGCGAAAAACATTTGAATTCCAGTGAGTGGATCTGTCTAAAAGTTTTACCTCTACTTTTGTTATGTTCTGTCCTTTCAGCGTCATCAAATGAAAGTTCTTGCAATGAATTCTTCACGTCATCAGTTTTAACTTCGTCAACTAAAACTGTCAACTGAGGTAGCGGACGTTTGCTGCCGTGAGCCCTTCGAGAAAAAATGAAATAAACTTGACTCATTTGTCTACATGTAGACTATTAGAATATGTCAAATACGCTCTACGAAAAGCCCCTATATGATTCAGATGGTAGGGGCAGGGGCAAAGCAAGGGGCAATGTGAAGTGCCCGTAATCTCCCCCTTTCTGAGATAATTGCATCATAATTAAGGTGCATAAAAATGCGCGAAACCGGAAGAATCAACATGCAACAATTAAATATCTTCCATTGTTAAAGTGTACATACTCCATTTGCAATAGCAAAAAAACTGCAGTGGACCATAGTGAGGCTGCTCGTAACTAAAATTATGAAGTTTAAAGCAGTTACCCATTGGTTTATATAGACAACATTATTCGATCTTTTCCGCAGCATGGCGTGGATGTTGACATACCAATCTGGTACGTACCCTGAGCGTGTTATAGTGTAACCCCCCTCTATAAAAAAGTCATAGGTATGCCCCTGATTCTAACAAACTCAGAGCTGAGAATAAAAAGGGTGGCTTAAAAAGGTGATTTTGCATTTTTCGCTGTGATTTTACGTGCGCTTTCAACTCCTGAGTATACAGTAACGGCGATTTGATTCAACAACCTGCTTACAAGTGAATTTCTGAATGCGATTTGCCTAAACCCTACTTGAGGGGTTTCTTAGTGGATAAACATCCACATCACATGCACCCTACAGTAACCACCGCATGCTAAATGTTGGAAAATCATATGCTTACAAACCATAAAAGATCCTGATAAACATGGTAGATCATTACTCCTTTTCCTCGCATTCCATCTTCAAGTAAATCGCGACTAGAAACTAACGTCACTCCGACAGCCACAGGAGCTCTATAAATAACAATAAAAGAGCTCTCAGGATCATTTATAGCCGGCGTAACGAGAGTTTCCTACCAAGTTACTGTAAGACAGTTAAAGCAAAAGAAAAATAAATAATAAAAAAAAAAGAGGGGAAGGGGAAAGAGGAAACGCTTGTCCACGTTTCCTTCTCTCCCCTCCCCTTTGGAAAAGAAAAGATGGAACATTGATTGAGGAACAGTGATTCAGGAACAGTCATGGTGGAGCGATCATGGTGAAAAAGTGATAATGGAACAGTAATGGTGCAACAATAATGGTGCAACAGTGATGATGGAAGAAAGGAACAGTAATGATAGAACAGTAAAGGTGGGAAGGTAATGATGGAACAGTAATGGTACAACAGTGACAGTGGAACAGTCATGGTAGAAAAGTCATCATGGAAAGGTAATAGTGGAACAGTCATGATGGAACAGTTCATGGTGGAAAAGTTATGGTGGAACAGTCATTATGGAACAGTTATGGTGGAACAGTTATGGGGGAACAGTTATGGTGAAACAGTCATGGGGGAACAGTTATGGGGGAACAGTCATGGTGGAACAGTCATGGTTAAAAAGTAATAGTGGAACTGTCATGGTGGAACAGTCATGGTGGAACAGTTATGGTGGAACAGTGATGGTGGAACAGTAATAGTGGAACAGTAATAGTGGAACGATCATGGTGGAACAGTAATGGTGGAACAGTCATGGTGGAACAGTAATAGTTTAACAGTCATGGTGGAACAATAATAGTGGAAGAGTCATGGTGGGGCAGTAATAGTGGAACAGTTATGGTGGAACAGTAATAGTGGAACGGTAATAGTGGAACAGTCATGGTGGAACAGTTATGGTGCAACAGTCTGGGTGGAACAGTAATAATGGAACAGTCATGGTGGAACAGTCATGGTGGAACAGTCATGGTGGAACAGTCATGGTGGAATAGTCATGGTGGAACACTGATGGTGGAACAGTCATGGTGGAACAGTCAAGGTGGAACAGTGATAGTGGAACAGTAATAGTGCAACAGTAATGGTGGAACAGTTATCGCGGAACAGTAATAGTGGAACAGTCATGGTGGAACAGTTATGGTGGAACAGTAATAGTGGAACAGTCATGGTGGAACAGTCATAGTGGAATAGTCATGGTGGAACAATAATGGTGGAACAGTCATGGTGGAACAGTCATAGTGGAACACTGATGGTGGAACAGTAATAGTGGAACAGTCATGGCGGAACAGTCATTATGGAACTCTCATGGTGGAACAGTCATGGTGGAACAGTTATGGTGTAACAGTTATGGTGGAACAGTCATGGTGGAACAGTGATGGTGGAACAGTGATAGTGGAACAGTAATGGTGGAACAGTTATGGTGGAACAGTAATAGTTTAACAGTCATCGTGGAACAGTAATGGTGGAACAGTCATGGTGGAACAGTAATAGTGGAACAGTCATGGTGGGGCAGTAATAGTGGAACAGTCATGGTGGAACAGTAATAGTGGAACAGTCATGGTGAAACAGTTATGGTGGAACAGTCTGGGTGGAACAGTAATAATGAAACAGTCATGGTGGAACAGTCATGGTGAAACAGTCATGGTGGAACAGTCATGGTGGAACAGTAATAGTGGAATAGTCATGGTGGAACAGTTATGGTGGAACAGTCATGGTGGAATAGTTTTAGTGGAAAAGTCATGGTGGAAAAGTCATTATGGACCAGTTGTGGTGGAACAGTCATGGGGGAACAGTTATGAGGGAACAGTAATAGTGGAACAGTCATGGTTAAACAGTAATAGTGGAACTGTCATGGTGGAACAGTCATGGTGGAACAGTTACGGTGGAACAGTCATGGTGGAACAGTGATGGTGGAACAGTAATAGTTTAACAGTCATGGTGGAACAGTTATGGTGGAACAGTAATAGTGGAACAGTAATAGTGGAACAGTGATGGTGGAACAGTAATAGTTTAACAGTCATGGTGGAACAGTTATGGTGGAACAGTAATAGTGGAACAGTAATAGTGGAAAAGTCATGGTGGAACAGTAATAGTGGAACAGTCATGGTGGAACAGTCATGGTGGAACAGTTATGGCGGAACAGTCTGAGTGGAACAGTAATAATGGAACAGTCATGGTGGAACAGTCATGGTGGAACAGTAATAGTGGAATAGTCATGGTGGAACACTGATGGTGGAACAGTTACGGTGGAACAGTCATGGTGGAACAGTGATGGTGGAACAGTAATAGTTTAACAGTCATCGTGGAACAGTTATGGTGGAACAGTAATAGTGGAACAGTAATAGTGGAACAGTGATGGTGGAACAGTAATAGTTTAACAGTCATGGTGGAACAGTTATGGTGGAACAGTAATAGTGGAACAGTAATAGTGGAAAAGTCATGGTGGAACAGTAATAGTGGAACAGTCATGGTGGAACAGTCATAGTGGAACACTGATGGTGGAACAGTAATAGTGGAACAGTCATGGCGGAACAGTCATTATGGAACTCTCATGGTGGAACAGTCATGGTGGAACAGTTATGGTGTAACAGTTATGGTGGAACAGTCATGGTGGAACAGTGATGGTGGAACAGTAATAGTGGAACAGTAATGGTGGAACAGTTATGGTGGAAGAGTAATAGTGGAACGATCATGGTGGAACAGTAATGGTGGAACAGTCATGGTGGAACAGTAATAGTGGAACAGTCATGGTGGGGCAGTAATAGTGGAACAGTCATGGTGGAACAGTAATAGTGGAACAGTCATGGTGAAACAGTTATGGTGGAACAGTCTGGGTGGAACAGTAATAATGAAACAGTCATGGTGGAACAGTCATGGTGAAACAGTCATGGTGGAACAGTCATGGTGGAACAGTAAAAATAGTGGAATAGTCATGGTGGAACAGTTATGGTGGAACAGTCATGGTGGAATAGTTTTAGTGGAAAAGTCATGGTGGAAAAGTCATTATGGACCAGTTGTGGTGGAACAGTCATGGGGGAACAGTTATGAGGGAACAGTAATAGTGGAACAGTCATGGTTAAACAGTAATAGTGGAACTGTCATGGTGGAACAGTCATGGTGGAACAGTTACGGTGGAACAGTCATGGTGGAACAGTGATGGTGGAACAGTAATAGTTTAACAGTCATGGTGGAACAGTTATGGTGGAACAGTAATAGTGGAACAGTCATGGTGGAACAGTAATAGTGGAACATCGTGGAACAATAATATGCAACAGTAATGGTGGAACAGTTATGGTGGAACCGTAATAGTGGAACAGTCATGGTGGAACAGTTATGGTGGAACAGTTATGGTGGAACAGTCATGGTGGAAAAGTAGTGGTGGAACAGTCATGGTGGAACAGTCATGGTGGAACAGTAATAGTGGATCGGTCATAGGGGAAAAGTTAGGTAGTTTCGAAAACGAAGCACTCGAAAACGAAGACCGAAGCACGAAGCACCCAAAACTCGAAAACGAAGCACCCAAATCTCGAAAACGAAGCACCCAAAACTCGAAAACGAAGCACCCTATCTCGAAAACGAAGACCCCAAAATCTCGAAAACGAAGCACTCAAAACTCGAAAACGAAGACCCCTAAATCTCGAAAACGAAAACTCGAAACCACTGTAGGTTTAATAAGTGCAACTTTACGTCTTACATGACGCAATCCGAATCAGGTGGAGGCAGCGGATGCGTCCGCACCTTCATGATCAAAGGTCCACAAAATCCATCCCAAGGTTTTATAACCAAACTGTTTCACTGAACGTTTCTAGATAGGATATCCTGTATTAATTTTAATATTAGTCTCGCTATACTTGATACATCTTACCTTAATATGCATTTTTTCGGTACACATACATGTTTATGTAGACTTCAAAACTGTCCGTCAGCAGATTTTGGCATATTCAAGTGCACGCGTGAGCAGTAACACAAAAAGGTCTGAAACGAGGCTGAAAACGGAGTGTGAGGCTCGCGCAGACATTTTCTTCGCCACGTTTACCAACTTCTTTACTGATTTTGAGAAAAAAACCGATTGTTTTGCAGTCTAACATATTGGATATCTATGACACTGCGTGTTCAGATCAGATCAGATCAAGGCAGAATTTGTTCTAGGATAACAGCCTGGGACCAGGCTCTATGGTGGGGAACAGGAGAACTCGTTATCGTGCTTGATTCCTGCTGTATTAGCATTGGACTAGTGTTTATAAAGGACAGACCCGTTTCGAGTTTTTGGGTGCTTCGTTTTCGAGATAGGGTGCTTCGTTTTCGAGATAGGGTGCTTCGTTTTCGAGATTTGGGTGCTTCGTTTTCGAGTTTTGGGTGCTTCGTGCTTCGGTCTTCGTTTTCGAGTGCTTCGTTTTCGAAACTACCGGAAAAGTTATGGTGAAACAGTCATGGTGAAACTGTCATGGTGGAACAGTCATGGTGGAACAGTAATAGTGGAACAGTCAGGTGGAACAGTCATGGTGGAACAGTAATAGTGGAACAGTCATGTCGGAACAGTAATAGTGGAACAGTCATGGTGGAACAGTTATGGTGGAACAGTAATAGTGCAACAGTAATGCTGGAACAGTTATGGTGGAACAGTAATAGTGGAACAGTCATGGTGGAACAGTTATGGTGGAACAGTTATGGTGGAACAGTCATGGGGGAACAGTTATGGGGGAACAGTCATGGTGGAACAGTCATGGTTAAAAAGTAATAGTGGAACTGTCATGGTGGAACAGTGATAGTGGAACAGTAATAGTGGAACAGTAATGGTGGAACAGTTATGGTGGAAGAGTAATAGTGGAACGATCATGGTGGAACAGTAATGGTGGAACAGTAATAGTGGAACAGTCATGGTGGAACAGTAATAGTGGAACAGTCATGGTGGAACAGTAATAGTGGAATAGTCATGGTGGAACAGTAATGGTGGAACAGTCATGGTGGAACAGTCATGGTGGAACAGTCATGGTGGAACAGTAATAGTGGAACAGTCATGGTGGAACAGTAATAGTGGAACAGTCATGGTGGAACAGTTATAGTGGAACAGTTATGGTGGAACAGTCATGGTGGAACAGTAATAGTGGAACAGTTATGGTGGAACAGTCATGGTGGAACAGTAATAGTGGAACAGTTATGGTGGAACAGTCATGGTGGAACAGTAATAATGGAACAGTCATGGTGGAACAGTCATGGTGGAACAGTAATAGTGGAACAGTTATGGTGGAACAGTCATGGTGGAACAGTCATGGTGGAACAGTAATAGTGGAACAGTCATGGTGGAACAGTCATGGTGGAACAGTAATAGTGGAACAGTCATGGTGGAACAGTAATAGTGGAACAGTCATGGTGGAACAGTCATGGTGGAACAGTCATGGTGGAACAGTAATAGTGGAACAGTCATGGTGGAACAGTCATGGTGGAACAGTCATGGTGGAACAGTAATAGTGGAACAGTCATGGTGGAACAGTAATGGTGGAACAGTCATGGTGGAACAGTAATAGTGGAACAGTCATGGTGGAACAGTAATAGTGGAACAGTCATGGTGGAACAGTAATGGTGGAACAGTCATGGTAGAACAGTAATAGTGGAACAGTGATTTATTAATTCTTGTAGTAATACTAATAGCACCTGTGCTTATTTGATCAACTTAGGTTGTTTATCACTGTTGCTGGAAACATAGGTTGAAATTCTTTATATACTTTTAAAAATGTGACACATTAAAAAATTTGGTCAATGCATTTTTTATTAATTTTTTTTTGCAATGTAAATGTATTATATGGAAACGACATTTAACTTTATGCAGCATGCATATTGTTTAGAAGAAAGGCTATATGGAACACAGAAATCATAACAACCCAACCTGCACTCTGACAATTAATGCTGCCAAATTTCTGATCATATCCTCAACATAAAATAAGAAATAAACAAAACCGCAATCACACTTTAATAGAGGCAGTACTGAAGATGCACTTTACAGAAAGACAGCCCTACCTGTTTCCATTGAGGCACACACAGCAGATTGCACCCTTTTCAAAGCACCCCAAAGCTGACACCCCTTCAGTTGGTACCACAACACCAGGAAGCATCAAGTCTAAAAAAGAGAGTTTCAGTTAAGATTAATATGTTAATAGTCGGCAAATGGTCCTATTGTTTGAAAGAGGTGATTAATCAGACAGGGTTCATACTTTTTTGAGCTCTTCAAATTCCATGACTTTCAATGACTTTTTCCATGACCTTTTGAAGTTTTTCAAGACCTTATGTTAGCTGTCACTTTCCAAAATTTTAAAAACTTTCCTAGTTTTAGGGTATTTTTGGACCTGAAACAGTCAACAGACACAAACGCTGGTGTCCCCCCAAATGGGTGGCAGTTGTGATGTACTCCTCTTTATCTTAAATTATCCTTGCCTCGTCATCTGCAGTAACTAATCTACCAAACAAAACTTTAATTTTTTATGACGTCAAGGATTGACTATTACATTCCATGACTTTCCAGGTCTGGAAAAGGAAATGCTTAAATTTCATGTTTTTCCAGGTTTTCCATGACCTGTACGACCTGATCAGAGAACAGCTTAAACCTGCTCTCATTCCTAAGGATAAAAGGCAGCATAAAGGTAAAATCTTAAATCAGATAACCCAACAATACACACACCTGCCCCTCCTTTAAGTTTTTCCAAAACTGGTGGCCATGTTGTGAAGCTGAGCAGCAAGTCAGGGAACTTCCAGAGCGTATAAACTAGAGAATGAAAAAAAAAAATTGATCACTGAGAGAATGTGGATCATCAAAATACTTCTTTGGTACTGGTGTTTCTAGTACCATTACCCCACATGGTGGGTGTATAAGGAGGGCGAGGGGAGACCATTCTCAGCACAGCCCTTCCCTTCATCTCTTTCATACAGGATATAAAGCATATTAATTGTCCATGACTTTCTACAGCGATGTCATTTTACAGAGAGGTATTGCACAGTATTTTGTTTCTCTCCAAACATATCACTTCATTTATTATTCATTGCTCATAGAGTATTTACGTGACTGCGAGATGCAGTAAATATTGTGTGTTTACTTCACATAATGTGACTGCGCAATGCAGTAGTTATGTCAGCCCACAACTGACCTACTCACTACTTGCATGGAATTGGTCGTGGGTTTAACTCTCATCTGCAACTCAGAATTTTTTTCTATGTTCTTCTCTCCACACATATCATTTCATTTATCATATTTTGCTATTGTCCTGATTAATATTTTGTACAAGGCAAAGCTCTGTGTGAATTCCAGTAGTCTGTAGAGTGTGAGCATTAAAAAATGTTTAATTAACAGTTCTTTTTCTTGGAGTCAGTTGTTACTGATGTTGCACAGGGTTCTCCTTAAGTGCCAGCACAGGGCTAAAAAACAGGCTAAAATAGAGAGAGTGAAAACCTGAAATTGCTTATGGCATTCAGATAACAAGCCGCCTACTTTTATATGCTAATAGTGAAATTCTTTTCTCAGTGGTTTAACTACTATAATAAATTTTAGCTTAGGTTACCAGGATTAGAACCCAAGAAAAAAAAGGTGAAAAACTTTTGAGGCAATAAATCCAGTGTACAATCATAAACTCCACAAAATTCACTTGCTAAAAACCTACTTTATGTAATACAGTCATAGTCTGGGGAAGTGGTAGTGGTGGGGGGAAGGAGGTTAGGGTGGAAGCTGTGCCTTGAGGTCTAAGTGACCCTTCTCCCTTTCACCATTTTTAACAAGTTCCCTTTTCATACACTGTAAAATTCCGAAAATAAGACCCTCCATGTATCAGCCCCTCCAAATATAAGCCCCGCAAAGTCATAACACAAAAAGCCTTCTGTGAAATCGCCCCTCTGAATATAAGGCCCCCGGGGACTTGTACTTGGAAATTGCCCTCAAATACAACGTAAAACGAAGCAAAAATGGTAAATTTCCTTCCAACTATAAGTTAGGCCAATCGATTTGGAAGCGCAAATTTCCGTCCATACATAAGCCCCTACGAAAATCAGCCTCTCAAAAGGGCCCTTTGAAAAATATAAGCCCCGGGGTTTATTTTCGGAATTTTACGGTATCCATATGCCTTCTTCCTTGAAAAAAGGTACCCCTACCCCATACCTCCTTTAAACACTGCATCCCTTTTCTAAAAGGGAACAATTGCATGAAGCCTTTAATAATGCCCCAATAGTGACCAACATCAATTTTCTCCTAACCATATCAACAGACAATCAAGGGGAAGGTTATAAGAATTAATAAAATAATTACCAAAAGGAAAATGCTTTGATACATTTCCTTGAGGAATTATTTGAGAGAATTTACCAAAAGCAAGGCTCGAAATAATTTCTGGAGAACCTTCAGACACGATGACCGGCCAAATTCATTTTAACTCGGTCACTTATCGTTTCTGGCCGGTCAAATTTATGAGATAAATAAATCTTAAAACAAGGGCTAAAAAACAGCTGTGGGTTCAGATATTTCGCGGGGTAGAGGGGCCGCAAAATTTGTTAGAAATCTTATCTAATACATGTCGATACAACATATTTGAAACTTATCTCGGCTATTGGGGCTGTTGATTGCCGTCAACTTCATCCCCACAACGAGCGAACAACATTCCAAAACTACCAGGCATAAGTTATGTTGGGGACAACTGGGCACTAGTTATGATGTTTTAAAAAGCTTTGACATTGGCTCATTTCTCGGCGCTTTGTTGTTAAAATAGCAAGTGATTATCTCTGTTAAAAACTTTAAACATGCTCGTCTAATCAGCACAAAATCAATCGATTTGTAGCGAAATTTGTCCAGGAAATTCCCACGAAATCGGCCGTTTTTATCTATTGTTTTTCGGCGAAGTTAGTCGCGAAAATTTCCGCGAAATTCCCGCGATATCAGCCGATTTTTCTGCGAATCTCTCTAAAAATCCCGCGAAACTTGACTTTTTTCTCCGCGACCGATCAGACGCCCTTAAGTTGTTGCTTAACTCATAAACAATGGTTGTAGTTGTATTTCACCCAGGATTTCAGATCAACGTTTCGCAATGCACAGCGACTCGCTATATACTGATAACAATTGAAACAACTGATTTCATTTTCAATATGATCCATTGTGACCGGTCAACATGACCGGCAAGACGAAAAGTTGACTGGTCAACTCCTCAATCAGTCCGGACATTGTCCGTTGACCGGCCGTTATTTCGAGCCCTGAAAAGATCAAAGAATTTTTTTCATTGGTCACCACTTTATTGATTCTTATCACTCCTTAAGAAGAATAAAATAGGTCTGTGGACATCGGGGCTTAAAGGTTTAAACAAATGAGAGATTTTCCTACCCTTTCACAAACTTCAGCTGGTAAAATCACTACCCTTTTATTGGGACATTCTATTTTTACCCCCCCCCCCAACCCTATGGAAAGAATGATTATGACAGGCCCTTATCCCTTAAATGGCGATTCCTACAGGTCCTTTTCTCACCACAAAGTATGAAGGGCAGGATTCTGATAGGCCCTTATCACGTAAATTGTGATTCCTACAGGTCCCTTATCTCCCAATTCCCACGGGCCTTGTAGTAATCCAAGCAAGCAGCAATTCCGACAGTTGTAATTAAAATATCAGATTCTGACTGGATCCTTCTGAATACTTTTAAATTACTGTAAAATTCTGAAAAGAAGCCCAGGGCTTATATTTTTCAAAGACCATTCTTGAGGGGCTTATTTTTCGAGGAGCTTATCTATGGAGGGAAATTTGCATTTCAAAATCGATTGGGCTAGTCTTATGGTTGGAAGTAAATTTACCGTTTTTGCTTGGTTTTACTTTGTATTTGAGGGCACTTTTCCAAGTACAAGCTCCTGGGGGGCTTATATAATTTTGGAGGGGTGATTGAATGGAGGGTTTTTTGCGTTACTGGTTTGGGGGACTTGTATTTGGAGGGGCTTATGCATGGATGGGCTTATTTTTGGAATTTTACGGCATGGCTTCCATAGTGGGGGCGGGCAGATAAGAAAATGGAATGTCCCATTTTACCGAAAGCTCAAACACAGAAGTACCCCTATTGGATGGAGCCTCACTTTAGACTATTGTGGGAAGTACCTCCCTGGGATTAGTGTTACCTGTGGGGATCACTCTCTTCTCCACTTCAAAGAATATTGGCTCTCCACTAAGACAAAATACTGTGATATTCTGTCCAGAGTGAGTCATTAAACGCATCACTGAAATCTCCTCTTTGTTTGGTATTAGTTCCGATATTTCATCTTGTGACAAACTGGGGAAGTTATTACTAACATCTGATCTCAGTTTCCGTCTGACAATAAAAAATGTATACACAGTTAAGCTTAATGTAATCTGTTATCAAAACCACAAAACCAAGTGAAAGAAAGGATTTTTGATAAATTTTATGGAACTGTAACTTACCGATCGGAACCTCGAATTGCAGTATTGGATTTAACTCGAAATGCCTTTAAAAACATGACTATTTAAATTCCAGTTACATTAATTTACATGCAAGTCATGAATCGTGAAAAAATATAATATCGCACACATCACACACATCACATTCTTCCGCCATTTTGATTGCTGCGCGCAGACTGGAACGAAACTAGATCCCAGATTCCACTCTACTTTCTGCGGTTTGACTTCCCGGATGTGTATTGAAAAGTGTCAAAGGAAACAACACTCCGGCCGTTTGCATTTCAAATTTCCAGCTTTGAAAAGCTTGCTACACGTGAATCGATAAACTTCTGGCACGTTTGGCTATCTTTCTTCATTGCAACGTGTCATTCTTAACGACGGAGAATGTAACAAAGAAAAGCACATGGTTTTTCTTCGTTTGACCGTGGAACGTTTGTATGGAATTCTAGGAAACGTCGCAGCTGAAGTGAAATTGACAACGCTTGCTTTGGAGTTAAGCTTAAGCTTAAGTTTATTCCACATTGATTTTCGTTCACCACATATCCCAAGTGGAGAGCAAGTGAAGCTGGAAATAATGCCAATAAGAAGTGTTTTGGTCGAATATTGAAGACCGTTGCTTCTGGGAAAAGTCGACTTTGTTGATAAGCTTAAATGGTTGGCAAATCAGATGTTTATGTTCGTCCACGAGTCTATAACTGACACCGAACACAACAACGAGTGATTCTGTCTACAGTGCTGCTGAATACATAGTACCAGCGTGACTGTTTGTTAGAATTGCATGCTTCTTGTTTTTCACTCCTTCACAGCGGAGAAGTATACACCGCATTACGACCTGTCAGGATTTGGAAGAGATTGACTTGTCTACAGTGTATCTCTCCCTAGGAAATACACTGTATTTAAGCTTATATTTACAGTGTGCGAAGTAATTTTGATTTTCAGAGTAGAATTGAAAAACAGTATCACTTTATTCAAAACATTGTCAACTAAGCCGACATAACAGCTGTTCAAAAATGGACCCAGAGTATGAGAGAAGACTTCTTCGACAACCAAATGGACGAAGTCCTCTGTCCAATTCTGTAAGTATCAACGCTGTAAGGTAGTGTACCACGTTACATGTATGTCTTACCGTTCATTGCTTCCCAATGGCAGGGCTCAAAATAATTTTCAGAGAGTGGCCAGACACAACGACCAGCCAAAGAAATTTTTGCTTGGTCTAGCCTTGTTTCTGACCGGTCAAAAAATTGGAAAAAAATACTGATTAATCCTTGTGTAATTTTCTGTTGGTGAGGATGTTGTATTTTTACAAACTGAGAAAAGCAAAGGTTTACAGATGAAGGTTTGGCTGTTTATTCTACAATAAGAGTGGCCTGACTGGTAAACATGACCAGTGGGTGAAATTTTTGGCTGGTCAAGACACCATTCTGGCCTGACATTGTCTGTTGATGGGCCACTATTTTGAACCCTGCAATGGTCATTTCTTTGTATAGCAGCAAGGCAGACGGTAGTCCAGGGCTGTCATTAAAATTTCAAGTTGTTGGAGAATCTAACAGCTGAGGATTTTGTTTGGTTTTATTTTTCTTTTATTTTCCTACAAAATTAGGGGGGTTATGTTCATAATGGCCAAGGAAAATCCCCGTCCCCCAGCCCTTAAGTAGTTGTAGACACATGAAGGCTAAATCTCCTTCCTTCTCTATCAAAAAATTCTACACATTCACAAGAAAGGAAACTTGTGTCGTTGCCTAATCCCAAGGATGTCTGGACTGCAGAGACATCACTAGCCAAAATAACATTATTTATTTTAATCAAAACTTTGACTTGTATAAAATAATTACACATCTGCTGATAATATATTTGCATCATCTTTTCTGACAGCCTTGTTTGAGTGGACTAAGGCATTTTAGCTCACCTCATGTAAGTCCAGTCAGTTCTCCTAGCAGAGAAAAGTTTGGAGATAGGTAAGGGAATTCAAGAAATTTAAATTTAAATTCAAGGAATCTAAGAACCTTCTTTAAAATTAATGTTATTGTGTTTCAAAAACCTAAAAGAATGGTAAACTTTCGTCTTTATGAAATTTTACATTAATTTTATTATTTATTTATTTATTTTAATCATTGGATAATGTATTTTTGTCATAAAGGTTTATTCCAAGTCGGACCAGTCCAGCAATGCAACTAAATTTTAATTTCATACAGGTATGTTACCCTCCTTAAACTTGATCAATCCACTGTATCTTTTTTCAACATTAGGGAAGCTTTAATCTGACAGGGAAAATCTGGCTAAACGTCAGATACATCATTTTGTTTAAATAAGCATCCTGATCATAAATCATTAATGATAGATATTTTTTAAAATTGTGTGTAGAAAGTCATTATCAGTCATCATCTGTTTTTGCTTCAATTTATTGTTCTTTTTTTAGGAAAACAGTGACCCAGCAAAGAATAGTGCAGTCACAAGGTCAGTTGTCAAAACCCCTTGTATCCCTGGCATTAAGTATTCTATTAGGATGTAAAATTTAATAAATAGGGTTTCTGATATTTCACGCTGTCTTGGAGCAGGAAAATCCTGCGAAATTCACAAAAACCCAAAATTATCAAATACACTGTGCGTTTGTGCAAGATGTTTGAAACTTATGTAGATCAGTTAAAATAAAATAAAAAACATAAAAAATTGTAAAGGGACCACTGGTAAGCAAGTTGTAAAAGAAATTGGGGGTCTTCCATAAACAATTGCTATACTTAAAAGGACTTTACAAAAATAAAGTACAGGGTTGTCAGAAAATTTTGAATTAGATGGTTGAGTTGTCAAAGTAAGCGGCCAGTCCAGGGATAATTTTATTTTATGTAAAAAACGCCATCCGTAAAGAAATGGCAAGCAGAGTAGCCGGCCAATACTAACCAAGTAGGCGGCGATTTTCACCGGCATCAGGCTACTTTTAACAACCCTGAAAGTAGGAATTCAGTTTAAAATTTATTCGAATACAGCTGTACCTTCCTAAGCCTGTAACTATTGGGATTGCACAGATAATTACAGCAGTAAACAGCCTTGATCTTGTTTGTGCTTTTTGGAGAATTTTTAGAAGCTAAATAGAAAACTGCTCTCTTTTCAGGGATGCCAGTGTTGATTCAAAAGGTGTGTATAATAAGACTTCACAATAATAAATATTATTTTAATTTAATACAAAAAAAATGCATTGTTGTCATTAGGTCTAGTCGTGAACTTTCCCAAATGAGGTAAAAATGAAAATTTTAAAACTAATATAGCAAGCTCTGTATGTGTACTGTTTTTTTCCAGAGGGAATGGCTTATCAGTGTCTTTTGAAGAATGAACTTCTTGGAGCAGGAATTGAAGACCTGAAAGTAAGGCCATGCAATGTATAATATTCCAGTGTAAAAATTGGTTTTTTTGAAAATTTTACAGACACTTATATAGTCCACTCTGACCCATAGTAAAAAAATGCACTTTATTTGAGTGTAACAAGGTATTAGCACAAGAGCACTAATTTTGACAATATTTTTAAGTCTCCAACTGGAGACGGGATTTCCATCCTACGTAGTCATCTGAGCCACGTGAAGGTCTAGCCCCTTGCGGTGCAAAGAGAGTTCCTTCATTTCTCAGTTAGTTTTATTAAGACCCTGAGTATTGGTCAGGCCCCAGGAAATCAAACCCGCGACCTCCCACTCTGCAGTCAAACACTCTACTTACCAGCGTGCAAAGAAAGTACTGTCCGGTAGCCCGGGGCTAGTGGATTTTGCTATTGGGCTAGTGAATTCTGTTTTTAACTTGCCCAAGGGGCAAGAGATGTTTTAAGGGGAATTTGAATAACGGAAGAACAAAAAGTTTTTGGGGCTAGTTGAAATGACGTCTGGGCTAGTAAATGCTAGCTTCAGCTTGCCCGAATGGCAAGCTGTAAAAATGATTTTCTTTGCACCCTGCTTACTGAGCTAATCTTGCCAATAACCAATAGTCACTACAAATACTGTAAATTTTTTAATAGAATAATGATAATACAGATGTTCACTATGCGTATTTCCTGATAAATTGGCTGTTTCAAATATTATTGTTCTGCTCATATTTTTCTTGTTAATGTCAAATATAGACGTGCCAATAACTGTTTGATTAATATACATATTGTTTGATCCTTACAGGAAGTACCCCATGAAGAGAGAAGAGCCTTGTCTAGCAATAGTAACCACATACATAGCATTTTTCAGGTTTGAGAAAACTAATTAGTCATCTACTTTTTACTGTAGGTTGTGAAATGAAAAAAATATTGAGGGGGTGTTTAATTACAAGTGCATGTGAGGAAATATGCAGAACATATATGTATCTGGTGATAAAAACAATTGTAAATTGTAATTTGTTTACCCATGAAGCATCTAGGTGTTTTTATGAACTTGTTTTTAAAACGTGTCTAACAGTGCTTTCCAGATCGAATTGGAATTTAAAAATGTTGGTTTTGAGAAGAGGAGAAAAACCTCGTGGAGCAAAAAAGAGAACCAACAACAAACTCAACAACAACAAAACAACAAACTCAATTACCCACATATGGCGTCAACGCCAGGATCGGAAACACTGTTCATGTTCATGCAGAAAATGTTTGTTTAATTGCCATTTATCACTGTAATAATAATATTCTCATCTCTTTCAGTACCAGGTAAAAAGAAGTAAGCAAGATGATACAGAATTAGTAGCTTCATATTCTCTTTCACCAGTAGGCAAGAAAAGGTACATTCCTTGACAAACACATTATTTTATTCTACGATAATTTCCCACAACCACTTCCAACCTTTTGTGTTATTACTGTACTAACGTACCATAGCTGTGGTATAATTCAATGTTGACTTTAGAACCATCATGTTCCAGCAATGGCCATCATTAATATGTACCGTTTCTGCTCTTTTTCAGTCAAAGACTCCTTCGATCACCAAGAAAGGTTAGAAACAGTAGTGCATCAGTCTGGGAAGCTGATTGCAAATAGCTTTTGAAGCAGACAGAGTTGTTATTTTGTGTGTATTTATTAATGAAAGTGCAGAAATATATGTTTATTTCAGGTAAAATGACTGAACACTTAAATGAGTGACTTATTTCTCCCTCCACTTGACCTGTGTCAATGTTACTGCATACATTTATTCATTCTGCATTTTGACAGAAATAGGTGATTCTTTTGTGTCATATAAAGCAGCTTAAGCAAAGTTACAAAGGAGTTTTTCAGTGATGAACATCAACTGGATGTGAGGCCATTCGCCTCTGTGCTACCAAATTTGTATCATTAAGTGTCTTAATTTACTGTCATAGAGACAATTTGTCTTAAAATTTCAGCAAAAGCCCCTGCCCAACAAATAAGTGCTAAAAGTCCACAGTTTCCATGTCATGAATACTATACACACACTATACTTACACTTTGGTTTCTTTTTATCAGTCAACAAGAAAAATTTCCAAGATACCATTTAAAGTGCTAGATGCTCCAGAACTACAGGTAAGTTTGAAGATGCACTAAATGAAACTTGACCAGTCTTACTGACAATGTTACAGTATACTAAACAGAAATGTTTTCATTAGTTTTCCATGAATTTTGAAAATTATTTTCTCTTCAAAATCACCCCGCTGTTCTTTTTTGAAGCATTAGGTGATAAGTCCAGGAGCCCCAAACAACATATTAGATATTTTGCATTTGGTATTACTGTTTTTCTCTTAATAGGATGACTTTTACCTAAATCTGGTGGACTGGTCAGGACAGAATATTTTAAGTGTTGGCCTTGGAACATGTGTTTATCTCTGGAGTGCTTGTACCAGCCAGGTAGGCAAATACTTTGTAAGTATACATGTATTCAATATTTCCCTCCTTATAGTGTTTTTCAAAATACATGCATGAAAAGTTTCCGTTAAAGTGATTCAATGTATTATTTGTCTGTTTCTTTGACGTTTGTTATCCATGTTTAGGTTACCAAACTTTGTGATCTTGCTGCTGATGGCGATTCTGTAACTTCAGTTTCTTGGTCTGAAAGGGTATGTGACTAGTTTGAAATGGCATGTAATTTCTATAGTGAAGTCAAAAACCTGCTGCAAACAAATACAGTGTAAACATTTTGTAAGGTTATAAAGGTTGCAAGAATTCAGACAATTCTTCCACTTTGGGTGCCCTGTGTTTGTGAACGCTATTGCTGCTTCCTGTGGCGATGCACAGTTTGCTTGGATAGTCCATTTTTTTTTGTTTTACATGTACTGTATGAGGATTCTGCTTGGAATCCAACCTTGGAAAACAGAGACACAAAAATCATTAAAAAAATTTGCCAATCTTATTTTATTAATAGTGACTCGTCAGATTCACAGTGAATTGGTACCTTTCAAGAAATTTGCTGTTTACAATGATGGCCTCCTTATAGGATATGTTCCACAAACTTACATTGTAACAACACAAATATAAAAATATTGACCATTCAAATAATGAGTTTATTTTTTTTGAAAACAGAGTGGTCTTGTCGCTGTTGGAACTCATAAGGGACTTGTTCAAATATGGGATGCTGGAGCTCAAAAAAGAGTGTCAACAATAGAAGGTCATACAGCAAGAGTAGGTCAGTAATCAAATAGCTTGCTTGTCTTGTCTTTGCTTTTCTTATTATTATTTTCTACAAGCATTTAAGTTTATTTGCAGGTGCAATTTGTAATAAGGCAATAATTTTTATGAATTAAGCCTTTGGAATGCAGTCAAATGATGATTAAACACTGGATTCAAACAGATTAAGGAAATGTTCTGTTCTATTCAAGAGGCAATAAGGGCCTTAATTCTTTCACCCCTTGTTATGTGTCTGTGAATTCCCAACTTATGATGATGTATGCTTGTCTAATATTAATCATTCTTAAAGGTGCCTTGGCATGGAATGGAGACATGCTTTCATCTGGGAGTAGAGACCGGCTTATTCTTCAACGAGATGCTAGATCATCAAACCCAGTGGAGAGAAGGCTTATCGGTCACAGGCAGGAGGTAAACCTTGAATATACTCTGAAGTGCTATTGGATATTAAGAGAATGACTGGAGTTTTCATAATAAATAAATTTATTAACCTGCATCACAGACATACAAGTAATTTAACTCTGGTCTGCAAATCAGTGCCAATGTTCTTGTTCTGGGCCTCCAACAGATTCAATGGATTACTGGAAATGCACTTCGAAATTTCCCTTCAATCTGATTGGCAAATTGACCTGTCAAATGCAATTTTTAACAGGCCAATCATGGTGTGTACTCAAATCCTGGGACACAGGTGGCGGCCTATAACAAAGAGTTTGGCTTTGTTTCATAAACTCAAGTTTTAGTTTTATATATGGCTCAGACTACACAAAAATGTGCTCAAAATAAATGAGTTGTTTATCTTAGATGAGGATGTTATATGACAAAGGTCCGTTGTATTATTTTGATGATAGGATATTAATTATTATTGCATTCATCAAAACGCATCCTAATGTAGTGTTCCTGTGGCACTAACACAGAAATTTTCGAGCCATCATGGGCAACTGCAGTTTAGCTGCCCCTATTAATTTTATCAGGGGCACCTCAGCCGGGAAACTGGACCCCTTTTGGCTTGATTTCATTTCCATAATTTTTTCACAAGTGATGAATGCATAGCAGATCTGTAATCAGTGATTACCTCGACTAGTTAATAAAATTAATCTATCCTTTGATAGGTGTGTGGATTGAAGTGGTCCCCAGATCACCAGCATCTGGCATCAGGAGGCAACGATAACAAGTTACTAGTGTGGAGTCTGTCTAGCGTGTCTCCAGAACAACAGTATGGTGAACACTCAGCAGCTGTCAAAGCCATAGCATGGTCTCCTCATCAGGTAGTACACTTTCCCTGCACATTTTAGGATAAAGGAAACTAGATATTTCTGGCCCCAGTTCTTCAAATGTTTGATGAGACTTTCCATAGATAAATGGCTATTTATTGGATAACTTTTAATGGAGAAATATCACTATCCACCTTTTGAAAACCTGGGGTGTGAATGCTGGTGTAGTTGATCTCTGTTTTCTCATCAGACTTAAAAATTTAAAGTCAACATTACATTGATTTGTATTGTCTCAGCCTATCTCATCCTCACAAGACAGTGAATGGAACTTAAAACCTTTAAATGTGAAGGAAAGTTAATCATGCAATGCCAATTTTTGTGTTTCACTCACAACACGGGATAAACATAACCTTGGGTCTTGTGAAATTAAGTAAAAATGAGTGCAGATGCAAAGGCAACAGTGCAAGCAGAACCACATGCACAAGAAGGCACTGAAATAATTTAGACCATGTTTTTGTTTTTGTTCTTGCATCTGAGCCATTTTCACAATGAAACAAGGATTTTATTCTTTCCCTTGCTTGTGTTTGTGTTTGCATTGTTAGCGAAATATCAGGCATTTAGAGTACTAATTGGCTGCGTGTGTTTTTTTTTAAGCATGGTTTACTGTCCTCAGGGGGTGGAACAGCAGATAGATGCATTAGATTCTGGAACACTTTAACTGGACAGCCACTTCAGTGTGTAGACACTGGGTCACAGGTATTGTTTCTGATTTGATTAGCTTCTCTTAGGGTTACCGTTACAAAATTCACAATGCTTGTCAAATTTCTATGAAAGTTCTGACAGACAACCAATAACATCGCGATGTAATTGACCAATCAGATCAATAACCAGAGTATAATAAATTATCATCTACTGACGTGATACAACTCACTTTGACTCTGAAGATGACTACCACACGGGTTGTCGAAACATCAGTGACTGTCAACGACAACAGTCCTACTCAGGACTACGTTCGCCCGGACAATCAAACTCAACCTACTTTTGAAATGACTCCTGGGTTCAAACCTTTCACAAAGTTCTTTTTGTAAAACATAGTTATCCAAAGAATATGACAGAGAGAATTTGCACTTTACCAGGCAATTTAAAAATAATTGATATTTCTCAGAACTTCACTAACTTTCAAAATTAGCAGCTCTGCCTTTAGTTTGATAAACATTAAACAGCAACACTTTTGTTTACTTTAGGTGTGCAACCTAGCTTGGTCAAAGCATTCTAATGAACTGGTGAGTTTTCTTGTTGTATTTATTTACTGGGACATATTTTTAGTTTTGTTCCAAGATGCCATTATTGTGGTTTGCAATTATTGGATAAAATGTCTCATGTATGGGTATTAAAGTGTCACCCACATTGATTCCAGGTCAGCACACATGGTTATTCACAGAATCAGATACTTGTATGGAAATATCCCTCCCTTACTCAAGTAGCAAAGTTAACCGGACATTCCTATAGAGTTTTATACTTGGTAAGTGAAATCATCAGGGTTCTTTCAAGATTCACAAATACTGCTTTTTTTGTTTGAAATGAATCTTGAGGCTGTTGTTAGAGCATGGTCATAACATTTGCTCGCAGATTGAGATTTTCCTAAGCTACAAATAAATAATGTAATGTGCTTTTCCAGTTGTGTGAGGCTACATGATTGGATTGTGTGAATTTCAGGTCACCTTTGTGATGAAAACAAATTGTACATTTACCCAGGGCTGTTATTAAGGGCCGGGGGCCGGGGATTTCCCCCAGCTACTATGTGTGTGGTCTCTGGCTACTTTCATAGGAAAATAGAAAAAACATAGAACCAACGTTTATATTTACCTGCAGGGGCGGATCTAGGGGGAGGGTGCAGGGAGTGCCCCCCCCCGAGATGACCTGCGGTTTTCTAATACAACTGGTATTCTGCAAAAAAAAAAACGATGTGGTTTGTTGGTGTTGAAGTAGAGCAAGAGACGAGTGCACCCCCTCCTACGCTTGAATAAATTTGGCATTAATTTATATCTTTAAGACCCTGGTAGATGTAATTTACCTGGTACACTGTTGTAGTCAGGGGCATAGCCAGCTTTTCAACTAGTTGAAGGTCTGGCTCACTTTGATTTCCACATATCCTGAAAATTGCACACATGGCATGATGACTAGTATGCAATGACCTCACCAACACTTTGAGCTCTTGGGCTTTTTAGCTCAACCTAGTAACACATAATTTATTACAAGCAGTAGAGTGATCAAACCAAAAATTTGTAGGCCCAGGCCTACAGGTCTATGGGCTAGCTATGCCCCCAATAGTTAAACCCAGCCCACTTCAATCAGAAAACAAGGCAATGAGAACTCAAATGCCCAATGCTAATAAATTATAATAAATAATTCTTGTTGTGTTCACAGGCCGTCTCTCCTGATGGTGAAGCCATAGTTACTGGAGCAGGAGATGAAACTCTTAGATTTTGGAATGTATTCAACAAAGCACGCTCTCACAAGGTATTATTTCCTGCTGTTAATATGTTGCTTTGTCTTAAGGGGCTATGCTATGGTGAGCGCCAAAATGTTTTGGTTAAAGCTGAGCTGAGATTGTAACTAAGTGTTGTTGTGCTCTTAACTCTAAAGGGAAGGGAAAGCTAAGCATGATCAGTGTTGGTCGTTAACTTGAAAAATTTGGCCCCGTTCTTTCAAGTTGTGATCTGATTCCATCCTGGTTATTAAATGCCAAAGACCTACATGCAGTAAAACATCATTTTAAAATAAAACTGAACCATTCTTTCAGCGATTCCTTGGTTGCAATGAGTTCTTAGGGTTTCAAAGAAATACCAAAGAACCATGACATAGTTCCTTTAATTGAGGTGTATAAATCCCGAAATCAAACCAAGTGGTGTTATTGGCTACTGTCAGCAGATGCAGTCAGTCAAATGAACCAATCAGAATGCCAAGTCAGCTGGCTGCAGTTTCGCGCGCTTTGATACGAAGACATCTTAGATGTCATTGGCCAATCACAATAGATGCAGAAAGTCGAATGAACCAATCAGAATGCCAAGTCAGCTGGCTGCAGTTTCGCGCGCTTTGATACTAAGACATCTTAGATGTCATTGGCCAATCACAATAGATGCAGAAAGTCGAATGAACCAATCAGAATGCCAAGTCAGCTGGCTAAATTTTCCCACACTTTGATTCAAGGACATCTTCGTAGCCAAATGCAGGAAAAGTCAGTTATTTTTGTTAAAAGGACCTCTGATACATCGAAAAAGTGATACAGTATTTTATTCATTCACAAGCGACTTAAAGTAACACATCTTTCCCTATTAATTTCTATCTCTCCAAACTAAATAATTTCCTTTATTTTCTTCAACAGGAATCAAAGTCAGAGCTCAATCTGTTCTCAAGAATAAGATAATGCAACTAAAAACTAATATTGTTTACATCGTAAGGTCATTAAAAATTGTTATTTTAAATTGCCAGTCAACAAGTAACATGAAACTGTTGAGAGGATGCACATAAACAAGATTTACAATATATATTACTCACATATACAATGGAAAATTTACATGTTGATTATGAAATTTGTATCGTCGCATATGATGTAACGATTCGGTGTAATATTATTAACCCTTTAAGTCCCAATAGTGACCAACAGCAATTTTCTCCTAATGATATCCATACATTGTCATGAGATTAAGTTATGAGAATTAATAAAATGATCACCATAGAGAAAATGCCTCGATCTTTTATCAAATTCTCTCAACTCCTTCTTTAAGAAAATATATAGAGACCAGTTTGGAGAATTTGTATGTGGATATTGGGGCTTAAAGGGTTAAAAAGGAAAGAATTCCCCAACTAGCTAATTACTTATTACAGATAAATGTTAGAGCACCATTTTAAGACTACAAAATAAAAAAGATACTACAACATTCTAACTTGTGGATAAGGTTATTGATTTCTGTGTTGGTGGTACAAAATTTCTGTTATAAATCCAGCTGTAGATTCAATAACTGATAATCAAGAACAATCGATAGTAATAGATATCAATCATCGGTGAATGTCGATTTCTGATATAAATCTAAAGAAATCGATAAAGAAAAAAATTGTGACTTCGATTAATCTCAATTTCCGATAGAAGTCGATAATGATTGCTTTATTGATTGTTATTAATTATTATCGGGAAAGACGTAAGTCAATCGGTACAAATTCAACATTGGTATCATCGAGTCATTCAGTCATGATATCATGCAGTTTTTTAATAATTGATAAAAAATACTAAAAAGACTTGCACGCACAGTGAAAAACAGCTTTCGTCGACCAAGTACGACCCCTTATGCCACAAGATGGCGGCGATCTGGAGGTCTTCAATGCCCATGTATAATACAGTAAAATCCCTCGTATAAGAACCTAAGTTTTTTCCAAGCTAGGCTAAGTAGGTTCTACTAAATGGTGCTAACTGGAAAATTAGGCTGCTCAGGTTCTTAAACGGGTTCTTATTTTATAAAATAAATAAGGTGTTTGTCATTGGTGGGTGTGGCCTGTATGGGGCCTATTATTGAAAGCATTTTTAAGCCACTAATGAAGTTTATACATTTTCCTAACTGGTAGAGCTTGTTCTATGAAAATGTGTGTATTCTGTACTTGACTGAATTTCTCAAAATAAGAACCTGTGTCAAAATTGTAGCCGAAAACAGGTTCTTATGTAAAAGGGGTCTAAATGGACAATCTTAGCCCAACAGTTTCTTAAAATCTAGGTTTTTATATGTAGGTTTTTTAGAACTGTATTGCATTGAACTGGATTCCAATGTGAGCGAGATTGCGAGGAAAGAAATGCAGGATGCAGACTGTCAATAACGCGGGATTGAATGGACATGTAAAAATCTATCAAAACAAACCAGGAAACAAAAGAGAGAAAGAAAGCAACATGATGAAGATCAGACCTGGAGTAGTCGTTGAACTGAAGCCGGTCTCGTGGGTGTTGTTAGCCAAATGGCATCCTTATGATCAGAGTATCTGAGCCTTAAACATGTAGTCCTCAAGACTATTCAGCTTGTTATTGACTATGGTAGATTGTTATCGATTTTTGTCAATCAATAATAATCGATAAAGTTATTTTTTTTTCTCTAATTCCAATTTCTATCGATTTCTGATATCAATTGATAACTGGTGGATTAAATCAGTTAATATCGATTATATTGACTGATTTCCAATGTCGATTTCTATCGATTAACTAGGCCTGGTATAAATATCGACCTGTTCTTATTCGCGGTTTTCACATGACGTGACCAAAATTCAAACTAAGCAACTATCGATTCTTCTGAGTTTCATGAGGTATTACAGCACCAAAACACCTTTATTTAAACAAAGTTTTGGTTCCAAAGGGTTCTTCGTTTTGCGATAGAGGACGTTTGAATCTGTAGGCTTTTGCGTGACGCAGCATTTGGCTGGTGGTCAGGAAGGCTCTTATGTGGGGGTTAAAAACATTACCAGTTTTGGGAGATTTTGCCATCTAAACATTCCTTGTCTCAGAATAAATATCACTTTAATCCTTTATGAGTTTTTCAAGCGATGAATTCACGCATTAGTAGTAAAGCTCAAAAACAGATGTTTCTGTTGGTTTCCGGCAGCCATATTTGTGCCCCTCAAAGGGACACAAACATGGCGTCTCCATACAAAGCTTTCTAAATTTGGGTAAAACGTTTTTCCGAATATCTCGCATATGAAAAATCGCACAGACCTGATTCTTGACAAGGCCTTTTGCATATTTATCTTCTTTTATTTCCTAGATTCTGGACTTTCTGTGCTGAATGGTTTGCAATTTTATTTTTGATTGCGTGACAGTGAAAACCGAGAATTGCAAAGTTTTTAATACTCCTAGACTACGAGTAGTCCCCATTTTTCCTTAGGAATAGTCAAGCGAGCGAAACGCGAGCATGCGTGAAAATCACGCCAAGCGAGAAATGTGCGTGGGGTGATTTCACGCGCACTAGTGTTTTGCTTGCTCTACTATCCCTGAGGAAAAATGGGTATTATTCGTAGTCTATAATACTCCAAATCCAAATCCTGTGCCCTTCCCCACGAAAAAATGGATTCTGATGATTGCTGGCCTAAGCCATTTTACGGTTGTCACAGGAAGGGAAATAGGCTGCCACCCTTTGCAGGGCTCGGGAAAAAAAAGGTCCCATCCGGTATAGGCCAGGTGAATCATCCTCAGTGGAGGATCCAGGAGGAGCCCCCCCCCAACTTGTTTGTAGACCAAACAAACGGTTGCTAGGTGTAAATAAATACTGCAGCAACAATGCATGTAGGGCTGAAACAGGAAGATTGCCAATGAAAATCGAAGCACAATATAGGAATTTTAAGTTTTGGCTAACTCTAACCAAACACCCAAAACACAAATTATCACGGGTGGTTTATAATGATATGAAGTCGAGAATGAATAAGGAATTATGGAGCCAAAAAATCAAACGCGCATTAGACCAAATAGGGCTGGGATACCTTTGGACAAAAGCACGGTTATTCTTTCATGTTACGCTTACGCCAAATAGATATATCCTTCATGTAATAGTAATAGATTGTTTATCTCCCTGTATACCCTGTATACCCTGTATACCCATGTATACCCTGTATACCTATGTATACCCTGTATAACCTATATACCTATGTATACCCTGTATACCCTGTATACCTATGTATACCCTGTATACCCTGTATACCCTGTATACCTATGTATACCCTGTATACCCTGTATACCTATGTATACCTGTATACCCTGTATACCTATGTATACCCTGTATACCCTGTATACTCTGTATACCCTGTATACCCTGTATACCCATGTATACCCTGTATACTTATGTATACCCTGTATACCCTGTATACCTATGTATACCCTGTATACCCTGTATACTCTGTATACCCTGTATACCCTGTATACCCATGTATACCCTGTATACTTATGTATACCCTGTATACCCTGTATACCTATGTATACCCTGTATACCTATGTATACCCTGTATACCTATGTATACCCTGTATACTCTGTATACCCTGTATACCCTGTATACCCTGTATACCCATGTATACCCTGTATACTTATGTATACCCTGTATACCCTGTATACCTATGTATACCCTGTATACCCTGTATACCTATGTATACCATGTATACCCTGTATACTCTGTATACCCTGTATACCCTGTATACCCTGTATACCCTGTATACTTATGTATACCCTGTATACCCTGTATACCTATGTATACCCTGTATACCCTGTATACCCATGTATACCCTGTATACCCATACATACCCTTGTATACCCTGTATATCCTGTATACCCTGTATACCCTGTATACCCATGTATACCCTGTATACCCTGTATACCTATGTATACCCTGTATACCCTGTATACCTATGTATACCCTGTATACCCTGTATACTATGTATACCCTGTATACCCTGTATACCTGTATACCCTGTATACCCTGTATACCCTGTATACCCTGTATACCCATGTATACCCTGTATACCCATGTATACCCTGTATACCTATGTATACCCTGTATACCCATGTATACCCTGTATACCCTGTATACCCATGTATACCCTGTATACCTATGTATACCCTGTATACCCTGTATACCTATGTATACCCTGTATACCCTGTATACCCTGTATACCCATGTATACCCTGTATACCCATGCCCCTGTATACCTATGTATACCCTGTATACCCTGTATACCCATGTATACCCTGTATACCTATGTATACCCTGTATACCCTGTATACCCTGTATACTCCATGTATACCCTGTATACCTATGTATACCCTGTATACCCTGTATACCCATGTATACCCTGTATACCCATACCCATGTATACCCTGTATACCTATGTATACCCTGTATACCCTGTATACCCTGTATACCCATGTATACCCTGTATACCCTGTATACCCTGTATACCCCGTATACTTATGTATACCCTGTATACCCTGTATACCCATGTATACCCTGTATACCTATGTATACCCTGTATTGTCTGTATACCCATGTATACCCTGTATACCCATGTATACCCTGTATACCCTGTATACTCATGTATACCCTGTATACTGATGTATACCCTGTATACCCTGTAGATCCTGTATACCCTGTATATTCATGTATACCCTGTATACCTTGTATACCCTGTATACCTTGTATACCCTGTATACCCTGTATACCCTGTATACCTTGTATACCCTGCATTCCTTGTATACCCATGTATACTTATGTACTCCCTGTATATCCATGTATACACTGTATACCCTATGTGCCCGGTATAGCCTGTCTACCCTTTAGTAAAAAAATCGTGTTTGATATACAAAATAAATCTTTTATGTAAACAATTTAATATTGAAAATAAATCAGTTACTTTAAAAAAAACCCTTCTGCTTTCCTACAGTTTGTCAGTACATTTTAAAAACCACCAAGTCAATCTGATAAGTGCAAACAAAAAAACTAAACTTCTACTCCACCTATACAAACGAAAAAAAGTACTCTGAATTCATTTAGCATATCAGGAAGCCTGAACATAAACGCATCGCCTTCAAATTTAAGATAGGAAATCACAAATCTGAAAGATTTACAATCCGCAAAACTCCCGAAGACCTAAGAATTTGTGATCACTGCAGTCTAAATTGTTGAAAATTAAATACACTTATTATTTCATTGGTCCTTAAAAAGTCTCTTTTCACTAAAATGAATGACGAAATACGTTATTTACAAATTAAAATACTAATGATAAAATCTGTTTTCTTTTTAATATTAGTACTGATTCGTACATGCGCAAGCTTACTGCTACCTTCGTCTTCCAAGTATTTGAGAGACGAAAGAAGAATAATGATAATAATAATCGATAAATTATCCCATTCAATTACATCTGTAACTCCTTTGCAATCTTCGTCTTGATATTATTGTATTTCAGTGTACAGGTAACACCATGTTAAAAAATATATAGTAATACTAAATAAACTTGTTGTTGTTGTTGTATTCTTTGTATTTCCTTTATCTTTCCATTTTCAAGAGCAATATCCTATAAATGCGATATCACAGCGACGTCAGTCATTAAATTGACAGATGATGACAATAGAGGGTCATTTGATAAGGTAGAATTCGTAGCCCTTTAATTATTGCTATCATATCATTTTATTTAATTCTACTCATGTGTCTAGAAAATTTATTTTAATTAGAGAAATGATCGCCAGGGTGAAATTGTCGAA